TATTATTATTATTATTATTATTATTATTATTATTATTATTATTATTATTATTATTATTATTATTATTATTATTATTATTATTATTATTATTATTATTTAAAATGTTTTTATTTAAAACGCTTAACAAGTAAAAAAAATTAAAAAATATATTATTAAGCTTAAAAAGCCTGTAATAATTATATATATTATTTATATGTTAATTAATAGCGGCCCGGCAGGGAATAAAAAATAATAATAAAATAAATTATTAATTATTTTAATAAATCTTAAGTTAGTATACTTTAATACTAATATACTATTATTAAAATACCTTTAAATAGGCTACTATAGGTAAAAAAATACTTATTATTAAAATAAAGCCTTATATATAAATATAGGTTAAAAAGGGATTAATTTTAAGATTAATAAAATAAAAGGGTGTTATTTATAGTTAGCTATTTATTATTACTTAAAAAAAGCCTTAAAAGCTTTATTTAAAATTATTTAAGAAACTTACTAGTAAGAAAAAAACCGGGCAAGTAGTTAAAAAAAGGTAATTTTTAAAAGCAAGGGCTTTTTAAAATTTTATTTAAATTTTATTTTTTTAGTTTTTAGTAAAAAAAGCTGCTAGCCATGCTTTTTTAATATTAATAAAATATAGCACCGCACTAAAAAAAAATAATTTTACTTAGGTATAATTAAAATAAAAAATAAGGTAAAAAAGTAGGCAGGAGCTAGAATAAAGTTATATAATTTAATTATATAAAAGTAATTTAAGGTTTAAAATTTTAAAAAAACTAAACTTAGGTTAAACTAATAAAAAAGCTATTTTATAATTAGGCATTATTTTAAAAGCGGACAGGAGTAAGATATTTTAAATAAAATATTAAAATATTATTTAATATTTTAAACTAAAAATAATAAATAATAAAAATAATAATAATAATAAAAAATGCTATTATATTATAATATAATAATAAGTTAGTATTATAAATTACTTATTTATTATTTTTTAAGACAGCTAGCGCTAGATTACGGATAATTTATTTTTTAAGGGGGGAAAAATTATTAGGGCTAATATTAATCTAGGTTATATTATTAAATAATACCTAAGGTACCTAGGTTATATTATTATAAAGTATTAATATTACCTATATAAAATACCTTAGGCACTTATTTAATTTAATAAACCTTATTATTATAAATTATTATATAAGACTTAATATAGCATTAAATTTAATATAATATTAAATTTAATATAATATTAGCTTTAACTAGGGACCTTAACTTGGGGACCTTAGGTTTTAGGTATTATTTAAATAATAAATCAAAGGCATGCCTTATACTAAATTACCTTAATTATTAAAAAATAGTTATAAAAGGCATAAATATAAAAATATTTAAATATTACTTATTTTTTAAATAAAAATAGCTTAAAAAATTACTTAAAGGCCTTAGGCCTTTAGGCAAGGCCTATATAAAAAAGCTAAAGGCCATGGTGTATATAATTCTTTAAGTAATCTTTTTAGTTAAATTTATTAAGGTTCTGAATATTTTATTCTTATTAATTAAAGATACTTTGCCAAGCTTTATTATTATTAGTAGAGAACATCTGGGTGCTAGGGCGCCCTTACATTAATAAAATATTAATAAAATATTTAAAAATTTATAAGAACCTAAAAGTATAGCTATTTATTAAAATATATATTTAATATAAATTTAGGCAGGTTTAAAATTTAAATAAATTTATATTWTATATATTTAGGTTTTTAAAATTTAAGTTATAATTATTTTAAAATTTATGTAAAAATAAAATTAGTATATAAATTTTTAAATAATAATAAGTATATATAATATAATTTAAGTTTTTATAAATTTATTATATATTTTTAGGGAAAAAATTATAATATAACAAGCTTTAAGTATTAACTAGCCTATTTTTAAAAAAATATATAATAAAGTTTTAATTTTTTAAATAATTTTTTTTTTAATTTTTTTTTATTTTTTATTTTAAAACACTAGCTAAAATTTAAAAGTTAAAGGTTTTAAAAATATTATAAAAAGCTTAAAAAATTATATACCTTATTAGCAGGCCCTGGCTAGCTTTAAATTATTACTAATAAATTATTTGAATTTTTATAAATTTTTATAATTAATTTAGTATACTAAAATAATACTATATTATTTAATTTAAGACTATATTATTATTTTTAAAATATCCAAAATATTTAAAATATAAAAAATATAAAGAATATAAAAAATATAAAAAATATAAAAAATATAAAAAATATAAAAAATATAAAAAATATAAAAAATATAAAAAATATAACAAATATAAAAGATATAAAAAAATATAAAAAAATAATTAAAAAATAAGCCTAAAAATAAATAATAATAATAATATGAAAAATTAGGAAAAATTAAAAAAATTAAAAATTGGACCTCTTAAGTAAATTACCAAAATTTCAAGGCGGTGTGTGTATCTACCAATTATATATACTGGTTTTGGCGGCAGAATACTAGCGCATACATTGAAAGTGGAGTTTTTGCGCGATTGTCGATTTAGTCCTCCGTAGCTCCACTACGTTGTCGCGGGGGGCCTTAGTCTTCAGAGGCGAGGGGTCCACCTGCTCCGAGGCAGATGGCTAGGCTGCTACTTCTCTAATATCTACAGTACTAGGTGCTCGAGTAGAGTGGGGAACGGAGAGCAAGTGTACATTGAAAGGAAAGGATATTGGATCAAAACAGATCATTTCATTCTCGTATGTAGATAGCGATAAGCTAAACATAGTCATGGACTCGAGCTCAATGTTAACAAAGGAAAAGTAGTGTAGACAGTAAAGTAGTGGCCAATCAACCAATAATGACACGCAAATTCCAATCCTTCGATCCTTCAATGCGGGGCATTGGCAATTCATGCAGAGATAGTGAGTCATGAGGAAAATTATCCAGTGAGAGCAAAGCCAAGCCAAACGAAGTGGAGTGTTTTTGTGCTTTCCGTTTTGACGTTTTTTGATCGGTATTGGTCTTTTCTCAGTGTCGGATGAGAAACGGGGACGCAGAGCGTAAGGCTCAGAACCATGAAGGAGGAGAATTCTCCTTCTAATGGGTTATCTCATGAGCGGCCGAAGCCCAGCTCAAGGATATCAACCCAGAATAGAATGCGGAGTGAATCCGGTTCACTCTAGGGTTGGGGCATGAGACGGGGCAATGCCCCGTCCCGTGGGCGTGTGTTTGAGCACCTGGCTGCAGTGTGACGGGGACAGAGACAGGGACGTAGTCGATTGACATAAGACAGAAGCGAAGGAAGCACTACCTAGCAGGCAGCTTCATTCACCGGTGGTACTCGGTCGGGCGCAGGTAGATGCGCGAGGACTCCTTGACTCGCTCGACACGGTCCGCAGCATCAGAGTCGTAGAGCGAGCCCCTGCTGGGCGAGCCACGGCTCGAAGAGGACCGGTGAGGAGAGTTGTAGACGATAATGCGGCGGGTCTTGACAACGTTGGTAGTGCGAGGCTCACGCTCAATGATCTCGGTCGCGGTAACCTTCTGCGAGTTGGAGCGGCGCGGCGGGACAACGTAAGTGCTGTCGTAGCTGATGATTGGCTTCTGGACCGCGGGGGCCTTGTCCTTCACCTCCTTCTTGTGCAGCGCCAGGCCGTCTTCGAGGGCGAGGAGGAGGTCGCGGGTTGCGATGCAGCGGCGTGGAATGTTGACGAGGGTCGGCTGCTTGAGGGTGTCGCGGTCGACGACGGAGTAGGACTTGCGGTTCTTGGAGTACAGGTAGGAGGCCACGTCGAGGGCGTACTCGGTGCCGCGGCGGCAGAGGGTCTCGCCCTTTGCGTGGGTGTGTCGGGGCTCGCTGCAGGTGTGGCAGTGGTCGGCGTGACGCTCAAAGGACATCATGACAAAGTGCTCGTCGTCGGCCAGCTCGCGGACTGGGAGCACGGGTGGCTCGACGATGGTGATTGGGGCAGGCATGCTGGTGACTCGTCGAAGACGAGGGCTCTTCGATCTGGGAGAGGGCTTGCGACGGTATGTCTCGCGGATGGCGATTGGGGGCCAGGAAAGACGCGAGGAAACGTTGGGTGACAGTTTGGCGGTGGTGCTCAGTAGAGTCAGGGCAGGTCAGGTGAGGTGTGAGTGTGAATGTACTGAAGTGTCTGAGAGACGAGTGCGTATGAGGAAGAGGGCTCCTGGTGAGGGGAGCAGAGGACTCTATATAAAAGTTAGGAAGCGACAAGTGACGGCATTGGTCACAGGAGGTTCCTGAGTAGCGCATGGTTGCCTGGACCGGCTGACCCAGACGCTAGTGCTAGCTGCAGGCTGTGTTGCTGGGATTCGCTCTTTGGAGGGTGCACCAGGGCTCTGATTGGCTGCAGCGTGATATTCAGTCGGTCTGTCTCTCTCGCAGCCTATTCCCTTCTCAGGTGTCGGCGTCGCGGAGTCACTCACTCACCGTCGTCTGTGGCTTGAAACCTCGTATCTGCGCCTCAGTCCTCACCGCTGTGCCACGATTCTCATTTCCACCTCCGGGGGTACATCCTCCTTGATTTCGATTTTTGAGGGTATCCATTTCGAACAATGTATCGATGATGAAGGTGTTGATAATCGTTGGCTGTTGAGGCTCGATGGACTTCAACGCCATTCGCTGCGCAACCGCCTCGGTAGCCGCGACCATCACTCTGAGACATCGACTGTCTGAACCGTTCTGTCGGTACCAAACCGTCTATCTTGGTTCTCCAAGAATAACTGATATATTGATAGCAGTTTCGCCGAGCGCTTGGTAATGTTGGAAAACGATGATGAAGTTGGGACTGTTGACCTTGGAGTCTGAACGCTAAGACGCTTACCCCTCCTCCACCTCTTCAGCCTCAACTCTCCAGCCTCAGACTAGACTGACCCCGGTGAGTCGCAGTGACTGCGCCTCGTATCCCTATCGAGTCTCGTTCCTGCCAACCAGCTCCAGCCACGGTCAGATTACAGCATTGTGTCTTGGAGCAAGCAAGCCTCTTACGGCGGGACTTAATGCATGCACACCATCTCCGTCTGCACGTCATCGTCAAGACCTCTAAGACAGGTGTCAGGCACTGCCCCCTGAGCTAGATGACGCTTGACGCGCGCGAAGACGGTCGGACCCCAGAGCCTCTCCCTTATCTCAGTACCCCAGATCCTAGCGCCGGATCGTTTCACCCTGTCTCGTTTGGCCCTGGGATGATGGGATCCAATACTTCATCCCTCAAGGACTCAACACGAAACTCTTCGAACTTCAAGTCGAGCAACGGTATTGTCGGTCCCCGAGGCGTTACGCTCGCCGCATTACAAATCATGGCGACTGGCGAGTTATTCTTAGCAGGGTTTGCAGCCTCGTGTTCGGCTCTCGACCCCTGAGACCAACCAAGGTCCAAAACCATGGCAGTCGTCCACGCAATCGGCCACCTCTAAAAATATATTGCTGCCAGCTGAGCAGCGATTACAAACACCTCTCGCCGCCCCCCAGAGCCCTCTGAAACTCAACCCAGGCTCCAAAATTTTACTCTCGCCCTTACTCGCCGCCCGATATTCTGGCCCCCAACACTCGCGCTCGAACCTCTCCCCTGCCTTGCTTACACCGACACTGCCGCCGCCAGGGTCCAGTTCAGATCAGTTCGAAGGTCGCGTCACAGCGCAATATGCCGATTATAATTGCCACTTGCAAAGCCCTCTTCAACAAGTAGCCGGGCTAGCTCAATCGGCAGAGCGTGAGACTCTTAATCTCAAGGTTGGGGGTTCGACCCCCCCGTTCGGCTTCTCTTTTTGCCCTTGTTGCAACCGCTCGCTGGTTGTGATCTGAAGATTTTTTTGCGGCTCGGTGGGTATCCAGGCCCAGTTTCCGCGAGCGGGTAGGCGGGCAGTGGACACACCGCGACGGGAGGGATCCACCTGCAGCCCTAAGCAATGGACGGAGCAAAGCCGGAAGTCCTTGTTCTACCGACGGTCCACCAAGGGGGGCCCCACCCATCGGTCAGTATTTAATACGTTCCAGTTTGTATGGTAGTTCTCATACAATTCAGAACTGTACGCTGGCCTTGCTATGTTGGCCTCCCCCACGCCCGACCTGGTGTTAAAACTTATAGTAAACTTGCTAAGTTACGCTGGTACATTATACTGTATAAGAGATCACATAGAAATCGATGTACCTGTAGAACTTATAAGGTTCTTAAGGAGGAAAAGTCAGAAACAAATAATTACAGGAGGCGGTCAGACCGGCCTCGGCCAATTAAAAAGCAGTATTTGCACCGATTTGGCAGAATTCAAACTTGGTGGGAAACTGCCACTAAACACCCTAAAGTTCAAATATATATCTCTATATAAGATTGTCGATTTTTATTTACGCGCTAATATATCAACAACAGCACCTATTTAAGTACTAAAAAAACTATTATATAGTATTTCAAAGGCGCTGTACAAATTAAATCGCTTAAAACTAATTTTTATCGCGATTTCGTTGCGCTACAAGCTTGCAAAGTTAGGAGTATAATTATAAAGGGAGCGGCACGTGAGGTTCGCGGCTGTCGAAGCTTGGATACACGTGCTTCGTTTAAATTGAGCTATACTTTATATGGAAACCCCTATATAAACAAAAGCCACAACAAAACCAGGCACGTATTCCTCTACACATCCCTACCAGGTAAGTCCTCCGCCGTCACCAAGCCAAATTCTATGCTAATAGACCTCCGAATAGCTTCACGAATACAGGTACTTTAAATTGTATGCGATTCTCTATAGAAACCCAAGTACCAGCACGTCAACGGCCTCACCAACGCGCCGACGGCCTTACCAACGCGTCGACGGCCTTATTCCTAGCCAAACACCGCGCGGATACACCTCCGAATAGCTTCACAAATACAGGTACTTTGATTTGTATGCGAATCCCTATAAAAT